AACGGAGTCAAGGGATGAATAATGAATAGTGCATTTTTTTTTATTTATGAAATTTATAAAAAGGATAATTCCTTGTCAAACTTCAGGCAGTGTCGGTAACCCTAGTTACATATCAAACCACAGATTTTCCACACTGCTTTTTATTACATTTGTAAATACTTGTGGAAGCATCCCACTAACAGTCTTGTATTTTCCGCTTCGTGATCTCGAGTGCTAATCAATATGACCATTACTTTCATTGATCTGAAAGCATTCATCTAATTGTTTCGATTGTGTTTCACATTTTGTTTAGTCCCAACGTATTCATTTGATGAAAACAAAATTGTTAGGTATTTTATGGTAACAATGGCCACTAAGAGTTACTTGTAGCCCAATTACTCTTCTTGAACAAGTTCCAAACCAAACTATCATTTGACATGGATGCTTCCCGCTCATAATGATTAATTAATGAAAATCCGGCTAGTTTTCCAATCTTTCACTATTGTTAATAATATTTTAAGTCGAAATAAAAGCAGTGACAGTGCAATGATAAGTGTTTCATTATTATTTTATTTCTTATTTAAATAAAGCGATAACAAAAAGTGTTTTCGTATTGATTTTGAAATATAATTGGCTTAATATTTTATTATAAGTGAATTTAGATTATTTAAAATTTTAGTTAAATGAGTGAACAATAATATTAGCTAGCCTACTTCATTATATAATTGAGAGACGACGACCACCCGTCTCACCACCTTGCTCCACTCGCTTTTTGAGGTTGATTGCTAAATCTCCATTTTTCTTAATCTAAACTGACTTTTTATACGATTACTAACTGATGTACTAACCGAGTAGTAGGTGTTAGCTTGCAATTTTAGAAAAATAATTTTGATGCACAATCTTTGCAGTAGTAATCTAAGTTAGAAATTTTGGTTTGCGGGAGTACCATAACCTATAAATTTACTGTCATGGCGCTGCGACGTTGCCAATTCATTGCTCACGATCAGGATAGATGTAATGTTTTTTTAGAAATTACTCTAAAATACAGCGTTAAGTATTGAAGATCCTTTTTAAGAGTTCGTTAAGGTACCCTAAAATTTTCTAAAAGCAATTCTACATGACTTATTTAATAATGCATTTCAAATTCAGGGTTCGTTCTATCTCATACTTTAGTTTTCAATGGACCTCCTTAAGGCAGAAAACATGAAACTGAATTGTTCAAATTAGACAGCATTGAAAAGTTTTATATGAATACCTTTTTTCTGCTAAGATTCATTCAGTTCGCTTGTTATTCGAATTTCAATCTTTTTTTTACGGTAGGTATCAGCCTTAGCAATTTTATTCGCTGAGAAAAGAAAGTGGGACAAACCGTGTGCACACCGGCAGTGTCATTTCATTAAAACGAGATGCGACGTTCCAGTGGGAAAATTTCGCAAAATTTGACTAGGCCTCGACTTGTAAGCTCGTTTCTGACGAAGGACTCTCTGATTTCAATGCATATGAAATGGTGCGTAAATAATTAGGTTAATGTTGTGGAAAGCGGAGATATAGTTCGCTTTTGTAGCGACAACGTTCGTTCGCGTTTCACGTGCCCACGCCCCATCGTTTCCTTGCCATTTTCCATTCCGAACATGTTATCAGATATATTGTCTTCGAGATAGGTACATTTTGAATAATTTCCCGGCGCGGCGCGGCAAATCACCGGAAGGATAAAGCCGAAGCCGATCTTTTTTTAAATAAGCACCGCCGCCATGCCATTACGAAGTTCGAACCCGAAACCTACTTTTGCGGTTCGATTTAGAATTCGTTAACTCCCAAAGGCTGATAAACTGATTCCACGAATGAAATGCGATTGTAACGGAAACACTATGCCTATACCTCAACTCTGATAGCAGACCCACGAAAGAATTTAAATAACCAGGACGAAAACATAGTGTTCGTAAAATAAATTCAATCATATTGATTCCTGTCTTGTGAGAAACACGTGTACTTATTTGGACAAAAAGACTCATCGTCAGCGTGCCTATTGGTTAATGTATACAGTATCTATCTTTAAAAATAGACGCAAGTGGAAGTTAGCATATAATAATTTGATATAGCTATGAAGTTGTGGTTCTATTCCATTAATGAACTGAAGATCGTGAAAGTAAATATTTCTATCTAAAAGTCATGAAAAATCGTATTACATCATTGGGCTAGATAATTTTATAATTCTGCCGTGAACTTTAATTGGATTCAAGGTTTAAAATTAATAAGAAACTATAGAAATACTCAAACTTATGGGTTCTAATAAATCTGAAAATGTCATCAAAACGAAGGAGTCATTAAATTTTGATTTACTAAATTATTAAAATTTTTATAAGTACAGTGTAAACTCTTTTTAACGTCACTCGATTTAACGACAAACTCTTTAAAACGTCGAAATTGCTTGAACTTGATTGGTTTACATTGTTTTCTATACAATATTACACCCTATATGGCGTCACGCTCACTCTATTTAACGACAACAATGCGGCATTATAAATCATTGAGCAGTACTTTCTAAGTTGCCGAAAAAAATAAGAACTGCAGCTGTGTACGTTGTTGAAGAAGACGATCCTGTCCCTCCACCAAGCATCAAACAAGCACTTGATGCAGCAAAACTATTAAAAAAATACTTTTTATATAATCAAATTGATCCAGCAGTATCTCAAGATATGAGTAAGATACGTAACAAAATACAATTAAAATATTGGAGCAGCAAAAAACGAACAGGCTATACGCAATGTATGAATAATAATGTTCGTGTGCAAAATGTGTACTATTTTGGTAAATGCATATTATAGAATAGTAAAATAATATCGTTTATTTCTCTCCATTTAACTACCACTCTTTACAACGCCGACAAATATTCAGTCTCTTAAGTGTCGTTATATAGAGTTTACACTGTATATCTGAAAAGTGTCGTCAAACATTGTAAAGTTTTCCTTTTTATAAAGGACCTTAACCAAAAATACGTAATGTTTCTAATAAATATTTGTTGGAAGACTTGGATAGATGGATAATCTGCGTCAAAACAAAATAGCTTCACAAAAAATTTCATAATGTTATTATCTAAATCTAAACAGGAGTTAGTTCTAGCTTACGAAATCAAATTTGACAATGTAAAATTACATGATTGTACTCCTAATACATAAAGAAGGTAGGCTACATTTTACATATTTCAATGTACCAAGCCCAAAAGCAAATCTTGTAAAACGCTTAATGCTGGAAAAAGGTTTTTGGAGTCTTTTCCTTATTTCCTTTTCCATGTGGGTTGCAAGGGAAAAGGAAATATCGTTGTGAAAAGAGGGTCAGTCAGACAGGTTTTGTATAGAGACTTTTACTTCGCTTTTCAACACACAACATAGCCATAGTCCAGCGGAGAAACGGCGCAAAACGAGCTAAACGGTCGAAAACGGAGCAATGGCTATTTATTACCGGTACTTGGGCCGATTCTTCCGAGCCAAGCCACTTAGACTATCGCGGAAAACGCAGGAAATGAAAGAGGAAGCTACCGCCCCCGTTCTGCACGGTCATTTCCAACCTGGGCACATACAGCGGCAGTTAGCGTGAAATATGAGAACTCGACTTCGACATTGAATTTCCGCTTCTTTTTTCTGTCCGCTAGTCCTTGCCAACAGGAAAAATAACTACGCTTTTCGAATCGTAATTTACGCTTTTCATTTACTTCTTGATTACTGCAGATTTTCAGTAGTAATATGTTGCTTATCAGTTCATCAAGTAAACATTTAAAATAAAGCCAATCTAATGTATAACTGGAAGAATATTAAATCTATTATCTTTTCAGGCGAATGATAAGGATACCGTGGACAAAGAAGATTAGAAATGAATACGTATTAAAAAAAATATGAGTATAGTGGACTTTATGTCAAGTTAACAACAAATAGGCAATATAGGTTGCTAAGACACATTCTCAGGCATGAAGGGCTAGTTAGAGACACACTAGACGCAGAAACAGGAGTTAAGAGGAGTAGAAGTACACGTCGATAATATTACTGTTCATAAACAGTTAAGGATGTGAGATGTTCTAGTTTTAAGGAAACGCGAAGATTAGCTCAGGATATGAAAAAATGGAGGTGCGTGTCCAATCAGTCTTAGGACTGACGACCTTATAATGATAATGATGATCTCTTCAGATAGTTACACTAGGTATATATATAAGATATGAGGAAATGTCCAGTTCAAAAGTTATTGGATATGAAGGGAAGCAAGCAATGATGGTCTAGATCAAGTATATTTTGACTATCTCGATCCCCGGCTCAGAAAGTTTTTATTTTTTGGATTGGTACCCATGAGAATTTTTTACCACAAAAAACATTCTTAGATTCTGCAGATTTTTAATAGTAATGTTTTTCTTAAAGGTACACTACTGTTATGGTAACGTTGTCTGTCCATCTGTTAATTCGTCAGGAACTCCAAGATCATATTTGTACATATTTAGTTGCTATCTTTCACGAAAACGACTTTGAACGACACGCATTTGATCAGTTTTATTTAATATCCAAGTAAAGGCAATGTATCGCCATCTAGTGGGTATTTGCTACTACTAAAGTATTTTATGTGCTAGACAAGACCTTACTGACGATAATGTAAATTTGCCTAACCAGTCGACTATGCAGCTTACAAGCGTGATAGGCACGCAAACCATATTAATAATTTCTTAACGAGAAATTTATCGAAAGCGCCAGACTCGGATCGCAATTTCGATCACATTAGATATCATTACGCGCCAAAAGAGTTTAATAAACGTTGTTAGTTTTATTCAATCTTTATTATAGTTGAGTACCGACAATTGCTGTGCCGGTGCGAATCATTTCATTATTTTAAAAGATCTACAATTGCACGGTGGCTGTGTGAACTACGAAAACAATTCCCTCATCAGCGCCATATTTTTTAGGTTCCCTTTCATTCCCTAATCATTTTTGTTTAAAACCAGGTTTAAAATGTGGGAAGTAAAGTACCAAAAGTATAGTTACATGTTGTAAGCTAAGAACTTACCACACATTGCATGCAGAATGTCGCATATCCTCTCTTACCTGTAATAAAAATGAAAAATATTAGAAAATTGAACAATTAGCTATTTCGTAATAAAAATCATATTAAACCGTTTCACAGTTTTTTCCGAAATCAATTATTTTCACGATTGTTCCCTTAAAAATTGACAGGAACACAAAAATATCAATATGCTTTTATAATGAGGATACTCTTCCTTTAACAAGTTTGTCATTGATCTCACTTCTTTGTTCAGGTTAGGACAAGAGTGTTTCCTGTTAAATATCTAATTGTCAAACGGTTGATTTTAAAATTGTAAAGTTTACACAAATAGTTGGATGTTCTATAGTTTTACGGAAATTGAAACATTAGCTCATTGTCAGGATAGGAATAAGTGTAGGTGCGTGTCCAACCTGTCTTAGGACTGACGACCCTACGATGATGATCTATTTTGTATGTGTTTCAAATCAAGATTTTAGGAAGCTATTTTTCAAATTCGAATAAGTGCTTGTTCTTAAATTTTTCTTTTTTATACGCCCATTAGGATCAAAATACATATTTTTGTACTCATATGTTTGGTGTTTTCATTATGTTCTTATCATACGTTTAATGTTTAAAACACTTTTTCGCGCGAAATGAATTTCATCTATCACAGTTATTTCACGACCACATCCACCTTTAAAGAAATTTATGTGATGTTGAAAGAAATAAAATAGGAATGTCCATTTATCTGCAGTAGTAAACTTGAACTGTCTCTGAAGCTTCTGGCAGTTGATATACGGTATCACTGAATTGTGTCACAACACGTGTAAAAGTTAAGTGGACAAATGGTGTGCACCAAGTTGAGGGTAAAACTCTTACTGTTGTTTGACAACAAGTAATTTCCACTCAGGATCTCATTTTCTATTATTTCAAGGGATCGAGCTTTTGCCTAAGGAAAGAAACTTGACGCTTTCAGGAGTGAACAAACTAATTTTAAAACTTCAAGTATTTTAAGAGGGGCGAGGGCTTATTTTATTGTATTTATATTGTGCACTTCAAAAGCATCGAGTCAATTGTTGGCCATGTAAACGATGATGATCTTTCTAGCAAAAATCAATCGTCATGACCCACCAGATCCTAAACTACCTCTACATAACCAAGTTTTCAAGAAACTTAATGTCAACTGATTCTGATCAAAATCACTCACAGACACGAAGTCTAGAAATAAATAGTTTCTGAGTTAGGGGTCAAATTAGGATTAAAGCGACATGTTGAAAAGAAAGAATAACGTACGGTAGGGTATGTTCGTTTCATGCGAGCTATGTAACGAAATCATGCAACGCATTTGCCTGCTCAGATCTTTAAAACTACGCAACGGATTTTAATGAGGTTTTTTTAAATAGATAGTAATTGAATGCATAATATAGTAGAGAAACACTAATAATTTTAGAGGTTTGTAATGTGATGTCGTAAATATACACATTTTTTTGCGCTTACATTGCAAACGCTGGCTGAACCCCACGGGATAGATCAAAATAATATACTACAGTATTATACACCTTAAAAAAGTCTACAAAAAAGTCCGCGATGGTATATGTCTGTCTCTTAGGGATAACCCACAATAACCATTTTTTATCCTTTACTTTTTACAAGAAATAATTGCTTATTTACGAAGCGATTTTAAGCAATACAGCATTAATCCTTATCCAATTAAGTACTTTTAAATACATTGTGCATTTAATATAGATCAATATGGCCCTTTACAG